TCGAGTTGAATATTGGAATCTTCAAAGAATACTCAAAGTAACCTTGAGAATAGTTTCCTTTCAACTACAATGAACAATTGCATCGTTTCTGTCTCGTATACTATTCTTTAACAAATATCTCAAAAAATCCTCAAACATTCACGTACCACACAAGAAACTTGGGAGTTGAATGATACTACAATATTCAAATACTCAAAACGACCTTGAGAATACAATGAACAATTGCATCGTTTCTGTCTCGTATACTATTCTTTAACAAATATCTCAAAAAATCCTCAAACACTCGTGTACCACACAAGAAACCTTCAAGTTGAATGATACTAGAATATTCAAATGCTAAAAACGACCTTGAGAACAGTTCCATTTCACCCACAACGAACAATTGCATCGGCGTTCTTCACGGAACGATCCGTGCGATCGTGAGCGATAATCGCGATGACGAATAGAGGTGGGGAGGTACACCGCGTGAAAATCGCCTGTAATGGGGAGGCCCGTTGAAAGGAGGACTCCTTTCTCCGGCGTTGATCCGCCCCGGGCTCGCGTTCTCGAGCGACACGGTTATAATCCCAATTGTGCGGTCGTGATCTGCATTTCTGATTCCATCGATTCGCTCTTTCGCAACGCGATCGCGCGCGAACTCGAACCGTCACGTCACGCGGCCAGAGGGGAGGCGAGCGAAGCTTTCATTTGCATCGGAGGGGGCAAGCTCCGATCGAGCTGCACGATCACGGCCTCCCCGGCCGTTTAGAACCGAGATCGGCCCGTAATCCGACGTTAGGGAGAACGTTCTCGCACAGGTGTGTGTACCTGTCCGCCGTTCGAGGGGCTCCAGGCTGAGCCTAAACAGCCGCGATTCGATGAGCAGAATCCGCTCGCAGGCTTTTATGAACCATACGTTTCCTTGAAATTACGAGTCGTGAAACACTTGAACCGTGAAAACTGTTGGCATCTTGCGTTCACGACTGCCATGGGTCACCGGTGACCCCCGATTGAATGGAATTACTGTAAATCGATTAAGACGTTGCGTACTGGTGACGAGAAATTTTGATTTTATAGGAAGACGTAACTTTGATAATTAGCAGAGCATTTAAGGAAATATTGAATTTGATTAGAACTAATTGTTCGTTTAAAATGTATTATAATAATATACCTGAGTTTTTTTATAGATGGTTATAAGTGGATCTCACTGGAAATTCGCACAATTTAATTTTTTGATAATTAGCCGGTAGTGTTAACACTAGATTTATGGATGTTTATTCTACAGTTTATTCTATTGTTCCTAGGAAACTACGTGTTCTATAGAAATCGCGAAAATTATAGCTTGAAAATTAGGGTATTGCGTATTCCCAAAATGATGCATTATAGGAAACTATTTTCACTAGAAATACTTCAACATTTTCTAATGAGATAAAGACGATATTCCGTGGAACTAACTTGAAGAGAAATCACATGTACATTGAGGAACAAAGCTATTTCAATATTTCTCAAATTGATGCATTATATGAAGCATAATATTAAATATCAAATTTTATGATTTCACTGTATGAAATCAAGTGAGAGTCACCTCTCTAGTACAAAAAGTTGAAAATATCGATTACTAAATAACCGGTTCATTTGAAGCTAATCGCTTCGTCTCTCCAAAATCTCGTCGTTCATCCGATAAGGGTTAACAAGTAAGTTAGTTATCTATCGTTCGCAAAGAAATCGCGGGGCAAGGGGTTAATTCGAAGCTGGAAACCGAAACCGAGCGACGCCGGTGCAAAGCGATCGGAGGAGCATCTTCTCATGGGCACCCGACACCGGCGGCGTCCGGTTCTCTGATATTCTCTCACGTTTAGCGGCGAGAAGGTCCGGCGCGTTTCGGGAGGCGCGATCGTTCGCTCGGAAGACCGTTTAATCTCGTCGCGGCGTGCACTTGACTCGAGTGGCGGGGCCGCGTGCAACCTGTGCCCCACATCCGCGGCGAGGGGAGCCCGGTGAACAGCCCCCGGAGGATTACACGGGGCTTTTAAATAAATTTCAATCGGTCGCCGCGCCTCTGTCGCGTTTAATGAGCTATTGATACCGTCCGGGGCCGGCGTTGCTTGGGGTAAGGGACTCTCACGCACGCACGCACGCACGCACGCACGCGTACTCCCCTTTCGACTGGCAGTCAGCCGAGGAAAACCGCCACATGCGATTTACAGGGCAATCGGAGATCCACGAACGATTCCATTATAAAGTCTTCGCCTTTTCCCTTGTGGGAACGGTCAGGTGCCGCGATTAAAGCCGCGAAATTAGCTGCGGGGATCGATCGTGGGAAGCGTTCCGCGAGGGTGCGAGCTTGACCGCGTCCGAAACACTTGTCGGCCGCCAGTGGACAAACCCCAGAAATCGGTTACACGTGTAATGAGTATTGAAGCTGTCAGTCGAGTGTTGTTAGGTAGTCTCGGCTGTATGAAATGATTTTCCTTTGGAAAGTAGTTTTGCGTGGATAAATTCCGTTTCTCTATTTTCTATGGATGAAACTCTAAGAATCGGCTACTCGTATGATGAACATTGGAGGCTGTTAATACAGTGTTGTTAACTAGTCTCTGTTGTATGAAATGATTTTCCTTTGGAAAGTAAGAATTTTGGGCAAATATATTCCATTTCTCTATTTTCTATGGATGAAACCCCAGAAATCGGTTACTCGTGTAATGAACATTGGAGGCTGTCAGTCGAGTGTTGTTAGGTAGTCTTGGCTGTATGAAATGATTTTCCTTTGGAAAGTAACAATTTTGCGCGGATGAATTCTGTTCTATTTATGTAACGTTAGAATCGAAAATGTCTATTGTCACTGGACAATCTTCATAACTTCACCGTAATGTAATATAAACACCATATGTTTAGCTCTATATCTTACACCTTTCGACTGTAGCATTTGTATCGCTCATACTTTAACCCTTTGCACTCCATCCTCAATTAATCTGACACAGGAAAATTAGAAAGTTTCATATTTAATATTGAATCTTCGTATGTTGCAAACGTGAAATATTGAGAGAAAATGGAGAGAATGGACAAATGGAGAATGTCTAGTATTTCCAGTGAGAAACTTCTGGAGTAAAGGGTTAACCCTCAGCACTCCAGATGGTTTTGTAATTTATCAGCAACTGCAACTAATCTTTATGGTATCTCTAGTGAAAATGAAAAATACTATAACATTTCCTCGATCTTTTATTTCCTTCTCAATACAAAATTTGGATGCGTGGAAAA